ATCCAGCGAACCCCGGTAGCCGCGCAGACTAAAACTCCGAGTAGCGCAATGTCCGACAGCAATATACCCGTATGTGTGGAAAGCTTGCAACACATTCAAGACACGTGTCTGAACCTTGTTTCGAAGAAACTCATATTTGTGGTCTCTTGGCATCTCTCTCGCCCCCTCTCTCTGTTTATCACTCTCTGACTCGCTGTTTTTGTCGCTCTCTCTCTCTCTCTCTCTCTCTCTCTCTCTCTCTCTCTCTCTCTCGCTCGCTCCGTCGCATTCCCTGTGCATCCTGTAGCAGGCCTGTGTACCAACACTACATTACATACCCTACCATGCAGGCAGCAGTCCTCCGGTTGTGGTCAGTCGTTTTACTTTTTTCGAGCCCCGTATCTATGCACGCATGTATTGTGTTCGCGTGTACATACAGATACATATATATATATATATAATCATCTATATATGTATATGTGCATGTATACGGATATGGCACGCCCCACTCACCCCCCCTATCCAAATGATCCGTTCGCTTCATAGAGCCTCGTCCCGCATGGTCACTCAGACGACACTACACCGCACATTCACAAGAACAACCTTCCGTGAGCATTGCAACCGAGAAACAAAGCATGAACACGACACGATAATTAGGTTCAACATTGGGTCTGTCCCTTGAATGAAGCATTGAGAGTGGAAGATCTCGCGTATTTGTTTGGAGAACCACCCGTCTTCGACGCTGAAGCAGCGGGAACATCCATGTCAAATTGCGGAGGTGTTTCTGTTGCTATTGAATTTTCCCGGGTGGTCTATAACTCGTTTGTTTTGGTGGATGAATAGCTTGAAGGCTTGCTGGTTTTATGCTTTAGTGACTTTATTGGCTCGCACCCCGCATGCGCGGACCCTCTACCCCAGGTTCTGTTTACTTCGAGGCATTATACCGGAAGCACAGGCGACGTGGAGTGGAAACTCAAGGGCCTACAAAACAGAGCTGTGGCTTCACTGAGTTCACGGATGTCGTAATTAATGCCCAGAAATGATTTAAACAAGGATTTATGGGCAATAATTAAAGCCAACCCGAACCAGGACTTTGGAGATGTCCGGCGTTTGGGGAAGAACAGAAGGGGCTTAATGAAGGTTAAGGCAGGCAATATAAGAAATGCTCACTCCTAGAATGCGTGGGTAGAAACCTATGATAAGAGTCAAAGTGTGTTGTTCTATGTTGCTTCGCGCACTATGCGGACAATGTCGGGGAATTTTGCCACTGGCTATAACAGGTGCCGTGAGGACGATAGCAGGCTGAAGGGATGAATGATGGGGTTTGCATTGGCGGGAGCAGGAGATATTCTTCAAGGGCACGGACTCATAGCACCTCATACAACATGGATTTGATCGCACAGTGGATGTCAATATCACAAGTACAACGACTTAGATTCATGAGTTAGCTATGATTCCAGTATCTGGGTGCAAAGTCTGGTTGTGCGGATAGCCATTGCTTTGGACTCCACGAAAGCTGCTTAACAGGCTCATCACCCGGAACATAGAAGAACAACTCTGTGTTGACATGCCGCTGTGTCAAGCACGATTTTCCGTTGTATTGTGACAAACAGACATGCACCGGAATCTACTCCATGCAATAAGGATGATGCTAGATAATTAACCAGGATGTCGCCGATGTCCAAAAACACAAGAAGGGGAGCGTCAAACAGAACCTGTGCATTGTACCTTTGAGCAGGAAAGTAGGGAAGTTTTTGGAAACTCCGCGCCCTTCACATACAGATGAATGAGCTGAGTGATAGAAAGTTGTCTTGGTGAGAACCAGGGCTCCGGACTAGGATTACGTGTGTATGCCTGCGATGAAAACCTCCGTTACGCGAATTTGGGGCACAGGAAACCACCAGCACGTTCATAATCCCATCAACAAGTTCGTTTGGCCATATATACCGGTTTTACGGCCTTGCCTTGCCAATCATAATGGCACATTTGGTGGATTGACGGCTTCAGGGTTCAATGGCTGCGTTCCCGAACCGATAATAGGACTAGTAGGAGCCGAATGAAATTTCTCGAAAGATCTAAGCCTCGAACTACGCTCTGTCTGAGCATATGATACAGGCACACGAGTAAATTAAGAGAGTGCTGGTTACATGGGTGGAGTTCCTAGCCAGTCGTAAATCAAGAATGCAACGATCGGGAGGTAATGGCCTGATTGAACAAATAGAGCTGACTCTGTGAAGGCTTTGAAGCCGTATAGACCAATCATTGGCAAAAGGGATACACGTTTCGCGTCTCTGGTGCGTCATGGGACTGCGCTAGTGACTAGTGGATACATGGCGAGGGCCCGGGTACCTTATCAGTCATAGCGGCAGAATGAAAAATAGATCAGGGGATGAACGGCTTCGCGGTTTAGGGACCTGACCTGACTTGTTTCTTGCGGGTTGGTAGCTCTGGCGGCTAAAGGGTGCAAACGGGGCTTTGCCAACCCGAACGTGGTAGATCTTTGGGGTGGGAAGGCGAGCTCATACATAAGATGCATACTCATGTTTCAATGTATGTGTATTTATGTAAAAGTGTGTATAAACATATACATATATACGCACAGACTTAGGACCAGTGGATGACAATATAAGAATCAGACTGTACGAAGATACTAGAACTGACATGTGGATGGGGTTTAGCGTGATAACATTGGTCCTGATCAATGGCGACGACAACAACCATTAGTCTCGCCGGTGCAATTCTATTTGGTGAACTATTTTGAACTCGGGCAAGCCAGGTTCAGGGACACTCCCGTAGTTCATCCTCCACATATATACTATAGTTAGGCAAGTCAACTAGTCAGTGCAACATATTCCCGCAAGGCACTTGCATTCAACCCTAGAAAGGCAGGTGCTCAGAGTTGGCTTCGCCCCGGTGGGGTTCAATCTAATCAGCCATTCGATTGCTTCGGGGATTCTGATGCTGGCAAGCGCGGCTATCTCATCCGATGGTGGGAAAAAAGGCTTCTTGGCAAGGGTTTATAAGAACAGAAATTGAATTTTGAGTTTGTACAAACACCTTGAAAAGCTAGACCCTGCAGGCTCAACAACGTCTAAACCCTGCCCAGGCACAACAAGATAAAGCCTTGTACAAACGAGAACAGAGCCCAAGCCTGGTACTTCTCCTAGTTGAACGCTATCATTTTCTTCATAGGCATTCAATCTTTAGTCATCAATGTTTTTGGTTTTCCTTTTCTGACAACCTGAAACGTGAAAACCTAAAACCTTAAACTCGTGCTTTGAAGCCATACGAATGGCGATATCGCGGCCCTACGAGGCGAGAGCAATTGCTCTAGGATGTCGTGGGACAATTAAACGTAGGAGATAGTGCTTACTAGAGGCATTTACAATGCTACTAAATCGTCCACGCCACCTATTATTGCTTTCCTACCGTGGAAGCATGAGCTATTTAGGGAAGCATCCGCCATTTGATGGAATCATGCGCTAGTTTATGGAAGCAGCTTCCATTTTATGTCAGCAGCCGCCGCTTATGGATTATGAATGATTATGAGATAGCTACAGGAATCGCGAGCATACGCTCGGTAGGCATGTATATCTGTACTTGTCTCATCTTAATGCAAAAGATGCACTATCTGCAATCTTTGGATATACCGCGGTAGATAAATGTGGCGTAAATGTGCCGAACGACGTAAATGTGTGTGTACTCCATGTCGTGCTTGTCGTCGTAGTGATCATATAAACATATAGAGATATACATATCGTGACAAACATTATGCAAAAAACACATATGTGTGTACATATATATATACATATATATTTCACATTGATTTTGAAACCGTGTATAACATACACGCATATATGCACATATAAGATACAAGTGTGTTGGCAGATATACAGTGTATGATTGCATTGTTATGAATATCCAGTTATAAACAACAAACATATAGATGCGTCTTGTAGTACCAGCAGATATCCAAACTAGTATGTTATATTATATGCATGTATAAAGTACTTAGCATATAGTATATCGTATACAGTATGTAGTAAACAGTATACACTATATAGTGTTAGAACAAAGTTCTTAGTATAAAGTATAAAGTCTATAATAGATAGTATAAGTATATACAATATACATAAATCTATAGAGAGAGAGTATATATATATACATGTATACTTAGTGTATATATAGTTTTAGAACCGTGTATATAAAGAGCATATAGTATGTAGTATATCGTGAATAACAAACAGTTTATGTATAAGTATAAAGTATATCGCAAATAGTATATAGTGTAAACATGTATATACATATATATATATGTATATATATATATATACATCTATATCTATATGTATGTATTGTGAAATTTGCACATAGGTAGTGTAAAGAAAGAATATATACACAGTGCTTGAAGTATAAGTACATGGTATACGTAGATATAGTATGTGTATATATATAAATAAAGATAAAAAGTTTGGATATACAGCATTATGTGTATATATATATACACACACATACATCGTGCACATATACGATATGTATATATGTATGTATAATATATAATATATAATATAAGTAGTATATATACATATACATATACATAGAACGAGGTTACATGTACATATATACATATATACATATATACATATATACATATATACATATATATATATATGTATATGTTGTGTAGATATAGTAAAATATATAGTAACTAGTATAAACGTAGCATAAATATAGTATACATATAGTATAAACATAGTATATTAATAGTATAATGACCCCAATTATGGAACCATAAATGCCGCAAAACCAGGCTACGCAAATGTAGGCGAAATCCAAGGTCATCGACGCAAAGTAGTATCATGACCCAGGATTTTGAAGGCACACGCTAATGACCTCATATTTTGAAGGCGCCGGATCGGGAGGGTAGGGGAATATAGGGTTTCTACATCAGTAATTGCTATCATGATCTTGGGAAGTATCCCGAAGAACAGTACCTAGGACTCTTTTGGGAACCGGCCGAGGTTGAGACGTGGCTTTTCTTCGACGGCGTAGGGACCCAAGTGTTTTTCTAGGGTTCCTCGGGGGGCCGTTTGAGGTTTCGTTTAAGCGGTCCTAGACTTAGACGGTCCTGTAAGGGTTTTAGTGTTCAGGATCGGCTTCTTTAGGTTCACTATAGGGGCCTAAATAATTGCAAATATGATATTGGGGGTTCCTTGTTAGAGTATAGTATAATGGGCCCCAAAACCATTCTGATTATTATGTTCAGGATTGGTTTCTTTGGTTTCTTTAGGTTTAGAGTGTTTCGGCAGGGCTTACGAATTTGGGGCTTTGGCGCTTGGTGGTTCAGGTGTGGGTAAAGTGTACTGGTCACGTACAGGTTCTGATAAGGATACGAAAGGTGGGGGGTCGAACAGAGCTCTCACGGGGGTTTACGGTTTAGTGTTGAGGCTTAGGGTGTGCAAGAGGACCGATTGCAACAAGCACCTCCATGTTTAGAAGGTTGTTTGAACCTTTCGCATGTTGATTGATGTTGTCCTGAAGCCCCAGTACAACAGAATATGAAGCTCGAGTAAGTATCGAGAGGACATGTTCAATGTGAGAATATTAGTATTAGGTAGGCATCTCTGCATGTCTCTCCACAGAGCTTGAAACCGGAGCCCATATATAAAAGCCTAGTGCTGTCGGGACTCAGGAGAGTTAGCCGTAAGCCCTAAACTCCGTAAGCCCTAACTTAACCTGTAAACCCTCAACCCCAACCCCAAAGCCCCGCCCGCTAGACCCTGACCTCTTACTGCTGGACCCTCGACCCCGAATCTTAAAACCTAGGGCCAGTAAACTGCCCAGAACTCATAGACACCCAAAGCCTAATAGCCATCTGTAGCTCTCCAAACCCCATAACTATAACCCAGATCTTTCAATATCCTTCAATTTCGGAATACCCCCCTGATTCATATTAGGGATCCTACCAGCATTTAAGGTGTATTCCTTAATTGAGGAATCTTTTCAAATCTGAGGGTGTGCGTTTGGCCCCCGATTCCAGCCATGCCGCCGATTCTGCTTCGGCGAAGCCGCAGATGTCTCTGCAAGATGTTCCCAGGCTGGTTTGCGGTTTAGGGTTTAGGGGTTTGGGGTTTCGTGGGATAGGGTTCGGGTGTTTAGGGTCTCGGGTCTACGGGCTGGAAACCGACGGCCAAAATAACTTGCAATTGCTTCCACTCCTGGCCCCCAATTCAAGTACCCAGACCCCCGGGAGGATCTAGAAAGTAGATCCCCTGATTTGGGGCCCTATACTACTAAGGGTAGTTTATAGGAACCCCCACAAGGGGATTTAACTTTTGGATCCTCCCGGGGGTCTGGGCATAGCACAACCTTCCCCAAACTCATTTTCGAGGCCCATAGCCTTTTTGACTATATAAGCCCGCTGCGAAACTAGCCCGGGTTTAGGGTTTAGGGTTTAGGGGTTTAGGGTTTAGGGGTTTAGGGGTTTAGGGTTTAGGTTTGCCCCGCACAGGAAGTCTTTCAAAGAACATCTGGGGGCTTACGGAGCCCCCCAGAGGGACCAACGCTCCCTAGTGTGATTTTCAGGTGACCTTACCTGTGTAGTTTATCTCAATCCCGGGTACAATCGATATATTGGACCCTGCAAAACCCCACATCTACAAACGCACCATAGTACACCCTGTAAAGCTGCAGCAGAACAGTATAGCAACCCATAGCCCATGTAGAACCTTCGATGGAACCACCCACATCCCAAATCCTGAACCCTAGATATTAGGGTCCTTAAGAATTCCTTTCAAGTCAACCGTCAGCCCTATAAACGCTTTAGCCACACCCTACCCCTAAAGGAATCCCATTACTGTATCCTTATGAGAAACCATCTCATAGTACCCTGAAAAGGACCCCTATGTTCGTTCCCTTCAAATACCTTATTTTGGTACCCTTATGGTACCCTGTACCCCAATTTTCGTTCCCATATACCACCTCATTCAAGTGCTCTTATACCACCTTGCAAGGAACCTTACTTAGGCACCCTTAACGGAAACCTATCTTCATAGCCTCATAGTACTCTGAAAGGAACCTTTTCCGTGGTGCCCTTCCCAGAGCCTCCAAAACCCTTTAATTAAGGAATCTAACTTAAAGTATAGTAGGATCCATAATATGATTTAAGGTATATTCCTTAATTAAGGGGTTTTGGAGTCTCTGGGTTAAAGGAGCCCCGAAAAGGTCCAGTAGCCCAGGTACTCGACTGCACCGGACGTGGCTTCCCCGGCCACTGGGCGACACTGCACCGCCTCTCGGCGTGCAGGTTTTTTGGGGTTTAGTATAGGTTCTTAATATAGGGGCCTTATGGAGGCCTTACTTTTCAATTACCTATACTATACATTGATTTTTGTTGGGGGGGTGGGGGGTGTTCCTTACTACAACTATAGTATGATATAGCCCATTATTAAGGCGCCTACAGAAGCAGGATGGTTTAGGGCATTACGGTTAGGGAGTTACAGGGCCTGGGAGTTAGGGGAGAGCTTTGCCCTTTCGCCTTTTCGCCCGGATCCCAGTACCTATTCTACATCATATATTAGGTACGGCCCCCACTCAGTAATAGTTGAATCAGTTGAATCATATTCATAGTATAGATATAGTAGGACCTTAATAGTAGCCCTATTATAGACTCTTACGGTATGGGGGCCGTACCTAAATTATATGGTGGGTTTTTCTGGGCAATGGCTACGATAAGGCTTACGTAGGTTCACGTGACAGCATCCACCCTATGTAGTGACTCTTGTTGCCAAATTTAAATTAAGCTTGAGGACCCGAAGTCCTAAACCCTCGTGGAATCTGCAAAGCCTTTTAAGGAGATTTACTTAACCCGTAAAGGAAGTTTTCCGAAAACCCTAAACCCTAAGTCATGATGCGTCGAGGTTCGCTGGCTTCGGGAAGACGGGCGGAAGCTTCGGTTCTTGGCCGAAAGCTCCTGGAAAGATGGGTGGCTTGCCTGCCTAATGCGGTCCAGTATCCCAAAGGCTCCATGTAATATGAGGCCCGTTATGCTACAATTAGAATAAGGAACCACCAAAAGAGTCTTGGTAATGATTTAGGCTCCTACAGTACCCATATAGTAGGTACTTAGGCCTTAAAGTACCCATATAGGGACCCATTTAAGGCCTAAGTACCTACTATATGGGTATACTACATGGAGTCTTAGGGTATGTTCGGTGCCCAAGATGCTATGATAGGGAGTACTTGGACACCTGAGTAGAACAGCAAGCAACAGTTGACGTTCTTGGTGTACTAAAATAACATAGCCCCATGAGTCATCTAAATCGTCAACCTTTGTTGTCTCCGCAGAAAACTGGAAAACTGAGTGGGTTTTGAGGGTAAGGCTGGTGACTGACCCAAAAGCCTTCCATTGCGTTCGCAGGGCAGGGGCTCTCTAATGGCTACAAGGGTTCTTTCACGGTTTCACCGGAAGGATGGATTGTAGTACATGGCTTTTGGGTTTGGTTAAGTACAACAACATTGATGCAGACATGTATGTATACATGTACATATTATGTATACCTAGTATGTATATGGATCTAAGAGATACACATATATGTGACACTACGAAACACATGACTGATATTCAAAATGAATACGAAGCACTGTGTTTAATCCCGAAACGGCGAATTCTCCTAAACCCTAAACCCCTAAACCAGCCCTAAACACCCAAAATCTCCTAAACCCTACACCCCTAAACCGACCCTAAACTTTCATAAAAGCCAGAAATCCTCGAAAAGCGCGGAGGGGAATCAGAGCGCCGAAAAGTGCGAGGAGATGCCGAAGATCCTTTGGGCAAGGTGTTGAGCAGTTTTTGTTTTAGTGTTTAGGGTTTAGGGGTTTAGGGTTAAGGGTTCCTTTAGGGGACCCTGGGGTTTTAGGGTTTTAGGTTTTAGGGTTTAGGGGTTAGGGGTTTACCGTATAAGGCTCCTAAGAGGGTCTTGGGCTTTCTGGGGGAGGGTTTCGGCTTTGGGGGCTAGGGTCCGGGATCTCACTACAAGGGTCCAGGAGCCTTAAGGATAGGGTTTAGGGATTATAGGGTTGCGTTTCAGGGTTCACTTGTACGGTTTAGGGTTTAGGGTTCAGCTTTTGGTTTAGAGGCTTTTAGAGTTCTGTGTAAGGGTTCAGAGGTGATTGATAGTGTTCAAGGGTTCAGGGTTTAGGGGCTCCTATGGTTTTATATGGGTAGTTGTCAAAATTATGGCCCCTTTTTGGGTACCCTAAATACTAGGTGCCGTATTATAATAAGGACCCAAAAAGGGGACCGTAAACTTTGTCAACTACCCGTATGTTTTTTGGGTTATGCCGTTGCTTGTGTTTTGATGTGGTTTCTTAGGTTAGGGGGGATGTTAGGGCTTTTGCTAATCGGTACCGAAAGGATCGTTTTTTTTGCTGGGTATGGTTTTCGTTTGCTATGTTCGCTGATGTCTCTCTAGACAGGGATGTGTAGAAGTTTCACAGGTTTCTATTGCTCTTTTTGTTTAAACTCGTGTGCTTGTAGGTCTTCATTGTGGAGTATGCTTTAGAAGCTGCCCCCACCCTGTAATAGTGGTATAAGAGGAATATAATAGGGCCCTAATATAATCCTATATAATCCTTATGGTCACTATTACAGGGCGGGGGCAGCTTCTAAAGTATGCTGCAGGTTGGTTGCTGTCTTTTTTGGTCGGCTTGGGCTTTCATTTAAACCATTGAGAAGAGCATGCAGGAAAGAGGGTTTCGTGGGTTTTGGTGCGTTTCGGCTTGAGTTTAACAACCCCTACCCTAAGGGTCCAAGTATAAAATAACCATATACTCTCTCAAATTTTGAGCTACATAACTACTTGATTATTGGGTCCTTTGGACCCTTAGGGCTAACCCAAAACCCAGGGCCAGAACCCGAAAAACCCAAAAGCTTGAACCCTCTAACCCTAGAGCCCAAGCCCTAAGCCTAAGGGTCCATGTGCCCAAATAGTATGTACGCTGGCGTTAAAGTAATCCCTATTTAGGTACTTTGGGGCCAAAGTACATA